GAGATTAATCTGATTGGATATTCAAACAGTTACCGGGCAAGAAGTGTTGATGACTCCAAGAATACATCTGGTTACATTTTCTCCTTAAGCAATGGAGCTATCTCCTGGAATTCACACAAGCAAGTGGTGACTGCAAAATCATCAGTTGAGGCAGAGTATATAGTAGCCAATGCTACTACTAATCAAGCTATTTGGTTAAGGAAGATATTGAAGGAGTTAACTTTTATATAGAAAACTTCTACAAGTATTTTTTTTTATAGCAAGTCTGCAATAGCTATCACACCTTGTGTTTCATGGTAAAACTAAACGCGTAAAGGTTAAATTCCATGCCATCCGAGAAGCTGAAAGAAGTGGGGAAATTTTTCTTGGATATTATTCTTCTCTAAATTAGTTAGTAGATATTATGACTATGACTCTACCTAAGTCTAGATTTGAAACTTTAAGAACTAAATTGAATGTTGTCAATGCAGACTTTAAAGAGGAGTGTTAGAGATAAAGCATGCATTAACTGAGCATGCATTGATGTTATCTTTTGCTTTACTATGTATTTTGCTTTGTTGTGCTGATTATTAGGTGAATTATACCAGTTGACATGAGGCGTCTTTGTGCATGTTAAAGTTAAGAACACTTGCCCTTATTGTAAACAAGTGTTAACTAAATATTGCTTGTATATATTTTGAGTTTGCTGACTAATGAATCATCTTTCTCTTTATCCACTACTCTATTCTCTTCCTTCCTCTCCACACACAGTCAACACCATTGTTTTTATCTTTTTCTTCTTATTTTCATATCACTCACAAGGATTATGGATTCAATAAGAAAGCATAAGGCTATACATCAAAAGCAAAGAATCTTGTGCACTAATCATAATGAGGTTGTTATTTAATTAGAAACTCTAAATCCTAAGGTACTCAGCCAGATGCATAGGCATTGTATAATAGATTTAGAAATGTAATTAAAAATTTTCTGGCTTGAGGTAAGTCGATGGCAAAGCAATCACCTATAAAGCAGAAACATGCTTTCCATGTATTGAGCCTTTCCTTGCTTATCGAGGAGATTGCCTGCATGTACGATCAATATAAGAGCTAGTATCAAAGCTGCTATGTAGCCAACAAAAAGACTTGGAAATTTTCAATCAATGCATTCAACCTCGAGTTGAGTTTAGGAAACACCCTCAAAGCATTCTCTACTTGGAAGACCTTATTCCATACTAAATTGAGCATCTTACCAGTACAAAATGATATTATATGCCTTTCTTTCTTTGTTTTTGGTCTTAGCTTGTTCTTTCCTTTACTATGGCTTGAATTCGAAAAATGTTTGATGAATGTAGCTTCAACCCTGTCCATTAGCTTGGTTACCTTCAATTCCAAGTTGGTAGAGAAGTTTAGAAAAGGGATCAGGGACTCAAAAAAAGTTACCACAACTATTTTAAGAGAAATTTCTGTTTAGGAACACATGTATTTACTAATTTACATTACTAATAGGAAGTTTACAACATTATATTAGTAGTAATGAACTTTCAATATGAGGTTGCCAGTCTTGCACATTATCAATGAGGCACTTACTTCGTCAGAGCTGCCAAGATAGGAATTCTCCATTATTCTCATATAATTTCTTGATGCCTTTCTTAAAGTGATATATGACAATAGCAGAAAAAATTTGAGCATAAAGACCAACAGGCAACAGAGCCATAGTTGATTACCAAATAGAAAGGATTATAAAAGAAATACATGATAAAATTATATCTTAATACCTTATCTTATTTCTTCATGATTTTAGAGAATGATAATAATTCATGAACCTGTTCTCAAAGGTAAAAAAAAAAAGAAAAAGATTAAATTCTATTATTTAAAGATAAAAGATATAAAAGCAACCAAATCTATGGGCTTATTAGCCTCGGATACCTATAGTTCTTGATAAGCGTAAGTTTCTGATAAAATTCAATAAACGTCTGCTTCAGTTGCTTTTCAATTTTCTTCAGGTTTTCCTTACTAAAGTTTAGCTGTGTCTGTTTACTGATTGAAAAATGAGTCTGAATAGCTTCATTCAACTTCACATGGTTCCGCATGTTCATTGAACCAGATCTAATACTGGTAAGATTCTTGGGATTTTCTTCTTGAATGTGTTGGCTAATGTAATTGGTATGCTTGTCATTATCTTCAATTGAGTCATCCGATTGCAGTTTCACTTCAAATTCATTCATAGGAACCATTCCTGCACGTAGAATAAAGATTTCTTTCAATTTGATATGAAAATAAAGAAAAATGCTAAAACAATGGTGTTTTTTGTGAAACGTGTACAAGCATATCAAAAAGAAACCTTAAAACGCTAATAAAGCTATGTCTAAAGCATACCAATGCTTTTAGAATCGTGCAGCTGATCAAAGCCATAGAGGTTAAAATATTGGTCCAACTGGTTTGATTGATCGATTTAAAATTAAAAGAATCAAAACATATACACCACTTTAGTATACACCTCACCACACCTTGCCAAGTCTCATTTTAGTTGGCGGCTGGCGTGCCTCAACTTTTTCATAATTTTGGCAACATTGGCTGGACGGTCGGACCGGTTTACTGGTCACTCGTGACAATCACCCAAGCCGGTTTTGCTATTGAACCATCCATGCAGTGGACCCGAAGAGAAACTGTTTTGATCCGATGGGTCAATAGTAAAATCGACATCCAAGGAATTTTGATGAATCATTCTTGTTAAAATGATTCGCAATCTACCATTTTAAGATAATTATCACTGTTAAACTAAAATAATATCTATTGAATATGAATTAGATAAATGGAATGATTAAATCAAATAAATGTTAATTGGAAATGTAATTTCTTGGTAAAACTTCAAAACTGTTTTATATATCGAACAGAGTTGTGAGATGTTTAGTGGGGTTTGTCGTTGACATACAATGAGATAAGGTTGAGCAATTGGACAATTCAATCTGTCATACTTAAGAACTAAACTGATTAAATATATTTAAAAAATTGATTAAAACTGAATAAATATAAAAAAAGATCGAACTGATCAAACATCGAATTGGTCAGATTGGTTTACTTTGGATCAAAAGGACTAAAATTTTATCATTGTTTTGCAAATTAAAATATTCAATTCAATAAATTTCATCCATAATTTTAAAATATTAAATAAAAATTAGTAATGAAAATATACATTTTACATAAATATAAAAATAATATATATAATATTATATATATTTATATATAATATCAATTTGGTCTTCTGGTCAGCTTGGTTCAAAAATTTTAAAATTGAGAACCAAATATATAAGCTAGTTGAACCAAATTTTTTGACCAATACACCCAATGGATCTATTGGACGAATCGTTTTACTCAAAATGCATTCGATTTGGTCAAGTCATTAGTTCAGTCCAATCTTACTCACTCTTAGGATGAGAGATTTTGCAAGGTGATTTTAACTATGAGCAACAAAAACGTTGCATAAGTGATTGAAATGAAAACAGATGAGACCAATGTTAATTTAGATTTATCTTTGGCTATTAAATATCTGTTGAGGGAGGAATGGCTAGTCATTGTTATTTATATGTATTAGAAAACCAATTGTTTGGTGGATTTTCTGGTGAATATGACTTTTTTATATCTTGTCGATACCATGCTTATGAAAGATCTTCTTAGAGACACTATCAATTTAATTAAACCATATTATGAAAATTTTCATAAATTTATTATTTTTATTTTCTTCTAATAAAAAAATATATGCAATCTACCAATTACTAATGGCTAAACATACTTAGTTATACTTTTTTTTGTTAATTTATCTTAATTATAAAATGACTTTTAAACAAAAAAAAAAGGATAAATGTTGAAATAGAACAAAATGCATGAAAAGCCAAAGTTGAAACCTCATCTTGTGATCTTTGTGATCTATCCTAATTTCAATCTACAACCAATCTTGTAAAAGATGTAATCATACCTGTAAACCTGCCCTCTTACTAGGTTCAACCTTGTAATTGAACATTATAAAATTATGTTCAAATCCCACTAGTGAGATTGACCTGAAGCTTGGGCGGGCCGCCTAGTCATTGAATACCACTACTAGTATTGAAATACATGGCTCCTTGAGTTAATAAGATGGCGACAAGATATTTGAATAAGAACCTTTCGCTGAAGAGATGGGCTTTTCAATTTACTCTCTGCAGAAATTGGTGTTTTCCTTCCTGCTGCAAGGCAATCCTACATTTCTCCAGTTTTCATTTTGTTTGGCCACATATAGCTTTTCATCTTCCTGCTAAAATTCAATGATTCCAAGCTTCATACACCAGAGAAGCTAAAAGCTGGTTTTGCAAAACCTTGTTCGGCCTAGTTTTAGCTTTCTGGAATAATTTTGCTACTGCAAATGCTGGGGCCGAACAGGCTTTAATTCGTGATCTAGTTTTCTTTATTTCATTTTCTTGCTTCAATAGCTTGAATTCTTCACTAAAAAACATGAGCTGGAAGAATGTCAGATAATTAATCATTGTTAAACTGATTAATTAAAAGAATCAATGAATGTTTTGGTATCTCTTTCGAGAATTCTTTAAGCGTCTCATGGTTATATGACACCATCAATCGAAACAAGCTCGAGGATAATGCAGATAGCAATAACCCTTATAATGCTAGCATACAACCAGTATGGTGCGGCTGCATCAATATTCTTGCCTTGAGAGTACTAGATTGAGTAAATTTGACGTACAAGACTTGCCACTTGTAAACACATAGAGATCACACCAAGATATGACAGATACATATACATGTTTTTGGTTTCTAGTTCTACTAATTAAAATACTTTGGCGGCCTCTATGATCACATAATTTCACACACCAGCATAATTAGTATGTACAAATAGGTTTAATATCACCTTAAGCATCCAACATCTAATGCTTATTGACATCCAAACTCTCTGACACACAGCTCAAATCCCCCAAATTTTTTTTTTTTTTAGAAAGAAGGAAATGGGGAAGCGATCAGCTCACTCTTTGCGCACTAAATAAATGGATTGACCCAGAAATCATCCACAGGATTAGAGTAGGATTCATACAAATATATGGGTTCATGGAGCCACGGCTGAGAATTTGGCGGCATAGCTTGGCAATCCTCGGAGTCAAATGCTTCAACGGTCAGTGGCTGCTCCAGTAAACTCTGTATTTCCCAAGACTCTTGAGATGAAACAAAATTGTCCTCTGTGTATGTGTTCTCTGATGGATAAAATTCATAAGTGGCTGGCTGTGGGAAGTCCTCCAACGTAGGAATTGCCGAGTCCAACTCCAACAAAGTATTGAGGAATGAGGAATCAGCATCAAAGGAATTCTTCTGCTCGATTTCCATACATGAATTATTTCCTGTAGGTGATGTAGTTGCTGATGTTAAATTGTTCTCCACTCTTCTCTTCAAGCGAGTGTTCCAGTAGTTTTTTATATCATTGTCAGTTCTTTGTGGCAGCATTGCTGCAATTGCCGACCATCTGATAATTAAAACTTGAGTAATTCAGAAAAAGAAAAAAAAAATGCTTACTATAATCTTATGTTGTGTTGTTCCTAACCGATTTCCTATCATCTTTTGCAGGTGGACTATGGCTTCTTCTTCTTCCCTGGTGAAGTTTCCACGCTTTATGTTAGGCCTCAAGTAATTCATCCAACGAAGTCTGCAACTCTTCCCTGATCTTGACAAGCCTAGCAATCAAAAAGAAGTGCATGTAAATACTACATATAACTACAAAATCCTGATGAACTATAGATTTTTCATACCAGCATATTTGGGCATTTCATTCCAATTCCAAATGCCATGTCTCATGATATAGGTAATCAGCTTCTGATCTTCTTCAGGGCTCCATGTTCCTTTCTTTAGCAATGTTCTGCTCCAGGATATTGGTTGCCTCACCATCTTTGAGACTACTCTACAAGTTCTGCAAGCACGCACCTCAAAGCATCGGAATGATTTCTTCCACCATATCGAACTTGAATCTCTTGCTTCTATATATTTATACCATAAATGTTTCAAAGATTCTAATCATCCTGACAACTTGTCAAAGACACAGATTTAGTAATTTGTACGTTCCTTCCTAGCTTGTTGCTTTCTTTGAATACAATTTAGGGCAAAAAGGAGTTTACTTGGATAAAATTCCCCCATGGGTCTTTTTTTATTCTATTGGATTGGTAAGTAAAGATGAGACAACTGTAAAAGACAAAACAAAGAGTCGAGGGACTTTAAGTTGCATTTCTTGTTGTACATTGCATGTAACACACTTCACATGTGAATGTAGTGAGTGCATCGTCCAAAATGGGGGGCTAAGTATTAATTTATTAATTCTGGGAGTTAATTATAGAGAGGAAATTAATAAGATCAAGGATGACATGGTCTATATCAATTTCACGACGTTTGGCCTCTTTAGTAAAAGGGTCTGTACTCATTGCACAGCTGCGTATTCACGTCACTGCTTGCCTAATACCAAACTGTTTCTAGATTTTGATTTGCAATATCTATATATCTATTACTTTGCGTGCTAACTATAATCAAGGTAAAATCAACAAAGCTACTTCAAAATATTTTAAAAACATATTTTAATCCCTCTTATTTCAAAATAATGTTTTTGATCCTTTAATTATGAATACCATTAGTCAACATTTAAAAACATTATACCCAATACTACATAAATATTTTAAGATACAAATGTCCTTTTAAGTAATATTTGGTCATTTTTTCTTTTAAAATTTAATAAACTTCACTTTAATATTTAATAAATTTCAATATCTGACAAAGAAAAAAAAACTTAAAACTTAATATAATTCCATAATGAGATTTGTAAATGCAGTAATTTATCTCAATTTGATACTTAATAAAATTCAATATTTGACAAAGAGAAAAAAACGTAAAACTTTTTGTAAAAAGTAAATAAGTCAAAATCTTTTTATAACACCCTAAACCCCAATATCAAAGAACAAATTTTGGGAAAAATTTTTCAACAAAATTAGAGTAAAAAATTAATCTGTTGACCAGCATCATGAAATTTGAAATATCCATCATTAAATAAAAGATATACTTTTAATACATTCTTTTAAATGAAAAAAAATTCTCAAACTATTGGAGAAATAAAAAGTTTGATGATAAAAACTTTACCTCATGAAAGAAGTTTTTGATTTTTAAAACAATTACAACTTCAAATTTCTAAGCTTTCAAATCAAAATTTTTTAGGTGTTTTTTTTACATTACGGTTTTTAAGGGAGCAGAAAGCAAAATTTTTTAAAAAAGAGAACATGTTTAAATTTAAAAAATAATATAATAGGTATTTATATCTTAAAATATTTATGTACTATTAGATCTAATCTTTTTTAACGGTTGACTTACAGTGTTAACAATTAAGGGGGTCAACAACATCTTTTTGAAACAATAGGGAGCAAAGTGTCATTTTTAAATGTTTTGAAGGAATTTTTGAAAGTTTACCCGGATAACAAATATATTGAAGAAAGAGTATCAAGGTTCTCAAGAGAGTAACTCACATTGAGTCCATACCCAAGAGGTTGAGAAGAAAATGGAAAAATGAATTTAATTTAGAACTGATGGAGAAAAAAATGTGCAAAGTCTGTTCAATCTGTATATGTTATACAATAGGATGCATTTATCTTTCATCTAATGGACAACCCTTTCTAAGATTCGAATGTAAGATTTTCAAATAAAATGTTCAAGTCCTAACAATTGAGGTGGTCCTTACATTAATCTTATGCTTATTCTAGCATGTATCTTACAGACAATATTATGAAAGTTGATAAAAATATACCATACAGATAATAACCCAACAAAGTTCTGTGGCATAAACACATTTAAAAAATCAGATTTACATCTTAAAACATATCATTATATAATAAAACACCTCACAAATAAACCAACAACTAAACATCATTAAACTAGTAACTTTGACAAGAGAATGGAGTTTTATTTTGGACAAATTACTATTTGTTATTTGTCAAATTATTTTTATAGTGGCATAATTATAAATTTTTAATCTTGGAAAATTTATATTTTTGATAAGAGAATAAAATCATATTAATTAAAAAGTAATATTAATGCTATCTCAATTACAACCAATACACTATAGAGTTGTTTTTTTTTTTTATAAGATACACTATAAAGTTCATATACAAAAACATAATAAAATATAGAATGAAGTCAATACATATAACACTTGCCTACATAATTTTTCCCTTTCTCTATATCAATTCAGACTTTCTGAGTTATTTCCAATTTCCTTTGATCGTTTGAATCTCCTTTGTGTGAATCCAATAGGACTATTATTCTATTCTTCCACACATGATATCAAATTCCTTTCCTTGAAGTTTCCATGTAAGATTTACCAAAAAGCTATTTGCTCAAATTTTGACAGCCGAAATCTATGAAAGGAAAAGAGCCAATTCATATATAGCTGTTCTTCTTCAAGAGATTCAGTGCAGAAGTATTTTTAAAAAAAAAAAAGAATTTACTTAGAAATTTTCATTGTGAATTTCATAGTTATTTTTCTTTTCCAAAATGTCCTTAAGTTGAGCAAACATAGATCTAAGCTAAAGTCAGTCTGGGATATTGTCAAGGCTATGTAGATGGCACAAACATGTCCTCCCACCCTAGTTTTGACCATATGTAATATGATTTAAAATTATATTTTGACCATATATAATTTTTCATCTGCTTGCTGAAATTCAATGATCCTAAGCTTGACATACCGGACAAGCTAAAAGCTGGTTTTGCAAAACCTTGTTCGGCCTAATTATTGCTTTCGGGACTAAATTAGCTACTACAAAACCTGAGGCCAAACAGGCTTCAATTCATGATCTGGTTTTCTTTATTTCATTTCCTTGCTCGAATAACCTGAATTTCTTCCCCAACCTCACTAAACAACATGAGCTGGAAACATACCTGAGATAATTAATCGTTGTTAAGCTGATTAATTAAAACATTCAATGAATGCCTTGGTCATCCCTTTCGAAAATTCTATAAGTATTTCAAGATTCGAGGACACCATCAAACAAAACTAGCTCAAGAATGATGCAGAGAGCAATAACCCTAATAATGCTAGATTACAACCAGTATGGTGCGGCTGTATCAATATTCTTGGCTTAGAGTATTAGATTGAGTAAAGTTTCCGTTTTCTTCTTTTGTTTTTTTCTTTACAACTTACAAGACTTGCTACTTGTAAACCCATAGAGATGATCACCAAGATATGACACATACATATATATGTTTTTGGTTTCTAGTTCTGCTAATTAAAATACTTTCCAGCCTCTATGTTTACATGAGTGCACAAACCAGCATAATTAGTACGTTCAAATGGGATCAATATCACTTTAAGCATCCAATATCTAATGCTTATTGACTTCCATCCTCTCTAACGAATTGATCATGCTGACACAGCTCACTCTTCATGCACTAAATAAATGGATTGACCCTGAAATCATCCTCAGGATTATAGAAGGACTCATGGAGCCATAGCTGAGAATTTGGTGACAAGACTTGGCAATCTTCAGAATCAAAAGCTACTTCCGTCAGTGGCTGCTCCAGTAAACTCTGTATTTCCCAAGACTCTTGAGATGAAACAAAATTGTCCTCTACTGTGTAAGCGTTCTCTGATGGAGAAATTTCATAAGCGGCTGGTTCTGGGAAGTCCTTCAACGCTGAGTCCAACTCCACCAAAGTATTGAGGGATGAGGAATCAGCATCAGAGGAATTCTCCTGCTCAGGTTCGATACCTGAATTATTTGCTGTAGGTGATGCAGTTGCTGACGCTAAATTGTTCTCCACTCTTTTCTTCAAGCGAGTGTTCCAATAGTTTTTTATATCATTGTCAGTTCTTTGTAGCATTGCTGCAATTGCTGACCATCTGAATATTAAAGCTTGAGTAAATCAGATAAAACAAAACCCTAACTATAATTTTATGTTTTGTAAATATTGCTGTTGTTGTGCTACTACTAACCGATTTCCTAGCATCTTTTGCAGGTGGAATATGGTTTCTCCTTCTGCCTTGGTGAAGTTTCCACGCTTTATGTAAGGCCTCAAGTAATTCATCCAACGAAGTCTGCAACTCTTCCCTGGCCTTGACAAGCCTAGCAATCAAAAAGAAGAGCAAGTGACTACTATATATAACTAGAAAATCCTGATGAAATTTAAGTTTTAGTAAATCCGTATAGCTCGTTCTTGTTCATTGAAGTTAAACTTAAATGAACTAGAGATGTCTCATACCAGCATATTTGGGCATTTCATTCCAATTCCAAATGCCATATCTCATGATATAAGCAATCAACTTCTGATCTTCTTCAGGGCTCCATGTTCCTTTCATTAGAAATGTTCTGTTCCAGGATGTTGGTTGCCTCACCATCTTTGAGACTAGTCTACAAGTTCTGCAAGAAGGCACCTCAAAGCATGGAAATGAATTCTTCCACAATATCGAACTTTAATTCTATTTACACCTTAACTGTTTCAAAGATTCTAATCACCTGAACAACTAGTCAAAGACGACACAGGAGTAATAAATTTGTAGATTGTTGCTTTCTTCGAAGGAGTTTACTTGGAAAAAATTAATTCTTCAAGGGGTCTTTCTTTATCTATCGGATTGGTAAGTAAAGATGGGACAACAGTGGAAGACAAAACAAAGAGTCAGGTGACTTCACGTTGCATTTTTGTTTGTACACACTTCACATTTGAAGATAGCTATTTAGTGTAGCGTCTAAAATGGGGGGCTAACTATTAATTAATCGTTTAATTTATTCATTGTGGAAGTTAAATACAGTTCAAGGATGATATATATATATATAATCCACCTTTTCCATTTTCGACCTTGGACTTGGAAATTCTACGGATCTTGAATTTCTGTTTCACGAGGTGTAACCTCATTACTTGCTATGACTGCTTGTCTGATATCAAACTCTTCTAGATTTTGAATTCAATATCTCCATTACTTTGACTGCAACTGTAACGAATACTGAAGAAAAAAATATCAAGTTTTGAAGTAATTCACATTGAGTTCATACCCAACAGATTGACAAGACAATGGAAACACTACCAAGAAACATCATCAATTTTCAATGGTATTAATTTCGTCAGATTTATTTTTCTTATATTTCAACGGATTCCAACCGAAACAATTCTGTTATAAATTCATCACAAAAAAGAAAAGTAAGAAATTTGCATATGGCTTTTTTTTTTTTAGGTGAAAAATTTCATAAAAATTTGATTATTTTTAATGGAATTTTTTATTGAAAATTTATTTTAAAAATAATAAATATTTTATTAGAGAACTTACTTTTTTGGTTAGAATTCATGTGTTGTATTATTATATTTTTTTGGGTACACGTGTAAGCCCATTGAATTTATATGTTACGGAAAATGATGTATTGATCTTTTAGCTCCCTAAGATTAGAATCTAAGACTTTCCAAATAAAAAGTTCAAGTCCTAACAACTAAGCTGTTCATTGCATCAATCCTATACTTATTCTAGTATGTTTTTCTGTCAAATTAATATATAGTGGCATAATTATAAATTTGTAATCTGGCAAATTTTAATAGATTTCTTTTTTATATTTTTGACAAGAGAATAAAGTTATATTAATTAAAATGTTATATTAATGCTATCTCAATTACAACCATTACACTGCAGAGATCATATACAGAAATATAATAAAATATGGAATCAAGTCAACACATAAAATATTTACCTACATAATTTTTCCCTTTCTCTATATCAATTCTGACTTTCTGAGTTATTTCCATTTTTTCCTTTGATTGTTTGAATCTCCTTTGTGCGAAGGCTATATGATTTAAGCTAAGGTCTCTTTGGGATATTGTCAAGGCTATATGATTAATTATTTTCATTCTATTAATTTTATTATTTCTATTTATTCATTTTTTGTGTAACAAAAATAAATGTCAAGACAATGGATAATATACACGTTGCCTTTGGAAACACAACTTTGAACTTAGATATGAATTTATATTTTAAACTTTTTCATTTAAACCCAATTAATCTTAATTTTTTGTTTCGATGAATTTTAGATTTGGAATTCAAAATTATAAATTTCAAGAAGGACGAGATTTATAATTGAGCTAAATTCGACAAATGCTAATTACATCCAAAAATCAATTTAAAATCCTACAATGGAATGTTAAAGTCCCCTTTGGATTTCATCTAAATCCAAATCTAAATTTTAACATTCTCAGGCAACCTATTGGCTCATTATTACTGGCCCAAATAAAACAAAAGTGGAAATTTGAGAGAATGTACAAACACTATTGAATACAATTTTGCTAGGTCAAAGTCATGTTTTCAATTTCATTCTTAGGTCAAAGTCACCCCCACATAACAATATTAAAGACAATTTTTGCTTACTAACATCAATGTCCTTTTCTTAAGAATAAATTAATCCAATACTTTATGCTGCCTTCTGAAGAGTTTTTATTTTTTTAATCTCCTTTTATTGACTAATCCAAAGCAAAGAGATTTGGTTTATGCTAGTATCACTGTAAAACAAGCCGTGCATGTGTTAATTAGATGGTGTCTTTCTTAGTTCACAATATTAGTTAAAAAGAAAAGGAGGAGAAAATCATACATTAGATGTCATGCACATTTCCAAAGCTCCCATCATCTCAAGGTATAAAACTTTGAAATAAAAATAAAAATTGAAAATCTCACAATTGATAAATTCATAAAAAGAATGGAGAGGCAAAAAATAAAATAAAAGTTACGTAGAAAAACATTTTTAAGAAAAGTTTATATGCTTTTTTATTCTTTCTTTCTTCTTTCTAAATATTATTAAAAAAGGTTACTAAGATTTAATATAAATATTTAAATGAAAAATGTTAATGAAAGAGAAGAAAGAAGAAGAAAAGGGTAAAAGTAGAAGAAAAAGCATGGAGAGGTAAGAAAAATTATCAAACTATTTTAACAAACTTTAATAGCTTTTTGTGCTTTTTAATTCCCTTGCGGGTCTGGACCAGTGGCCTGACTTGTGAACACTTCTACAAAGTAATAGCACTTACAGATTCTTGCAATGACTTGGGAGAACTTTCTTAATTAATTTTGCATACAATTACTCTCTCACGTTCAATTACAGGTAGTTAAATAGTTAAACAATGTAATTTCTAGTAAAATAGGCAAATGAAAGCTAATTTGGAATAAAGAAGTGAAGCCTTTCTTATCACATATCTTTAAGAGTTATGCTATTAAATTAGCTTTGGAAGTTTTTCTGAAAACTAACTAGAAAGGAAAAAGTAGCTGAATCAGACTCCATATTGGATTAGCAAAGTGTTGGTGCAAATGGGGTTTAGATGAAAATTAACTTCAAGGTGAGTCTTTCATACCACTCATTATACAAAAGGAAATAAAGCAAATAGCCTTAGAGATATAATGAAGTCAACATCTAACTTTATCTTGCATTTGACGAGAGTAGATCGCTAGATATACCTAAGGTTTTGTAAAGTTGTTCAACCTTAGAGCCTACTTTCTGTAAGAAGTAGCTTATAAGTAATTTGGATTCCTTTGATAGATGATGAGAACTCAAATGTTTATATTTAATTTTAGAACATAACACTTGTATTGCTCTTAATTTTTTTACTAATATTTTACTTGTTTTTGGTGTATTAAAATGGTTGGCAGTAAGGCCTTTATATAGGCTTGCAAGTATCTCTTCTTCAAGGACACAACCCTTTCATCAAGGCGCATCTTTATCTTAAAGATACCTTTGCATTTTGTAAGATATAATCCTTGGATAAAGGTATTGTTTCAATAATCACCTTATGAAAGGACAACCATTTATTCTATAAGATATAATCTTTAAGCTATAATATGAAAAGATAACTTTTTGTATCTAAACTTTTGAGCTATGGTGTTTTTCCAATTATTTCATATTCTTTGGATTCCAAGGTATTTTTCAATATGTCACTTTACCAAAAGACGTAACTATTCATATAAAAAACCTACCTACAATTCAATAGTCACACTATGTCACTATTTGTGGCATAACCTTTGAGCTAAAATAGCTTTTCATTATGTGACATAACCTTTTATTTTGAAAACAAACCAACAATCCCTCATCATTTTCAAAATTTTTAAATAGCAACAACTTCGGGAATCTTGTGTATAAATGAAGATATCCTGTAGATTTGAACCTTCAATTAGTGAGTGTGGTTGGCTCTAGTCTGAATAGAGTGGTTAACTAAGCATTGAACCATTGATTCTTTATTTAACTAGTTAGGCCACTAAACACACACAAGCTTCTTTACTCACTTTGTATCTAGTTTTGCCAACACATTTTTTATGACCTTGTGTTTTGCATCCATTCATAAGTGTTGTAAAAGTTAAGCCTTTAGCTCCTAGAAGCAACAACATTTCCACTCACATAAGTAGCCCCTATCGAAAGTACCCCATAGTTATAGGACTTCAACATATACATGTTATGGTTCTATTAAGAACTTTTGTTTAATGTTACCTTACACATTACGGGAACCAAGCAGTATGTTCCTTGGGATGGAAAATATAAATTAGTGCTTACAATCATCCATGTGGTAGAATGGTCTATACCTAAGACTTGCAAGTTGGCCACAAGTGTCGAGGTAAGCTCCCACCATAAGAGATTTAGTTGATAGGCTTGAGATCCATCCCTTTTGAGGTCTTTATCACCAAGTTCATTTTCAAACCTTTGGTAAATGAATCCATTAAATTTTCACAAGACCTCATATAACTTATAGTGACTATACCTTCACTAATTCTTTGTTTTACAATGTTATGTCAAAGTCCAATGTATCGACACTTTCCATTGTATTCTTGATTATATGGCTTTGATATTTTTGCTTCTTTGTCATAATGTATCAAGATTGATGCCACTGGTTTAAGCCACAATGAAATTTTATAGAGTAAATCTTTCAACCTTACTGCTTCTTGGGTGGCAAATGCTAAAGCTATAAATTCAATTGCCATGGTGGAGTCTGCTTGACAAGATTGTCTTTTAAAACCCCAAGAAATAGCACGCCCACCAATTGTAAAAATCCAACCAATTGTAGAAGTATGATCTATTTTATTTGAGTTTCAACTAATATCTGTATACCCTTCTAAAAGTGAAGGAAAACTTGAATAAAAAATCTCATAATTCATTGTACTCTTTAAGTACCTTAGAGCTCTATGAGCAATATACCAATGTTCTTTACTTGGATTACTTGTAAATTGGCTTAGCATCCTAACCGCAAAAGTAATGTTCGACCTTGTACACACTATAACGTACATTAGACATCCAATCACTTTAGCATATTCATTTTGTGTTATTGGCTTGTCTTTGTTAAGTAATAGCCTTATATTACAATCATAAAAAGTAGATATTGGCATACAAT